TGTACTTGAAACAGTGTGTTACCATGACATTGTAATACTATAGCACAAATGTCAGTATAATGCGTATCATTATGAAGGAGAGCAAGTCAAGATAACAAGGGTATTCAAGAAATAATAGTGAGTTTTTGTAGATTAAAACGAGTATAAATGTACTATGAGTAAGTGATATATGGAGTCAGTACCAAAATCAATATGTTGTGCTACCTAAGTCATTTAGAGAGTACATGCAGAATGTATGGTGCATTTGGAAACTGTAATATAGTACATAATTACTAGTATACATTGATGTAATTTTTTAAGAATTGTAGCTATGAAAGAAGATAAAGCTGATTAATTAAAATATGGTTTAAGTGATCCTTTGTTTTAAGCGTTAAGTGGTAACTTATAATCGTCACTTATTAAATAGTTTATTAAATTTTTTTTATATACATTATTTGTACATCATTCAGAATCTGTATTATCGAAGTTATACAACTTGATGATCACGTGTTGCATGATAAGAGTCTCTTTCCATATCAGGAAATTTGGTTGGCAAATTTGGACTATGTAGGTGACATTTTGCAGGAAACTTTATTCCTGCCACGTCAACTTCGTAATCTCCTGATAATACATATTCATTCGTCACTTCTTGTGGTCGCCCTTGCGAATCAAAATTTTGTACAAATCCAAGGCAAACCTATATTATGATTTATTCATTACTTTTTACGTGGTATACTTTTTTTAAATTTCTGAGAAATTCTTGTCAGTATGATTTGGTTACAATATAATTAAAAGTATTAATGCTTAATTAGGAACGCTGTATTAGTACCTGTTTTTTAAATGTGAACCCATAGCCTGTAGTAGTTGTCATTCCACAGTATATTCCGTTCCTGAAGATAGGTTCACTGCCCCAACACCATGTATCCAATTCAGGATCATGATCGTTCAATAATAATTGCACATACTTCCGCTTCACACCTTCCTCGCGTTGTTTCAATAGAGCATTCTTTCCAATAAAATTCACTTCTTTCTATTAAACATAGAAATTGTATAATATTATGTAAATTTAATATGTACATTTTGTATATTTGAAGAACACCCACATCAAGTTTTACTCTCCACGTTCTTCCACACTCTAAAGGCGTGGTAAATGTATCTAAATCTTGACCCCAAAATGCGTAAAACTTTTCCACTCGCAACGCTCGTGTTGCATAGTAACCAGCATGCTTTATTCCATATTTAGCTCCAGCTTCTACCAATCTTGTATAAACATGTAATGCGAACTGCGAATACATATTATACAAATTATAGATATAATCAAAATTTCAAAACAATTATACAAGAATGTCCAGAATACTTACTTCATTTGGAATATATAAAACGTAGCCAAGTTCTCCAGTATGAGTAAGATTCATTGTACGTATTCCATTTGCAAGACCAACGTCTAATTCCTTTTAAAAGAGTGAATATATAACAAGGATTAAATATAAAATCACATACACAATAACGCCAATAGTTAATACCTTAAACGTAAAAAAAGGAAAGTTTTTGGGATGCAGATCAGTATCTGTTAATTCAGATAACAAGTGTCTAGTAGCTGGGCCCATAATGCAAATTGCAGTATATGCGGAAGTTACATCGGATACTGCAACCGAGCCATCAGCAGGTAAATGACGATTAATCCAATGCTTACAGCGAGTTTGCTGTATAGTAGGAGCGATCATCATATAACTTAAACATTATAGAATAATTATACGATTATATCTAACATTCAATTATTTAAAAACTATATTTTTGTAACTTACTGATTCGGAGCGATGCGTGCTAAACTGCAATCATTTTCGTAGCCTCCACGTTCGTTTTGCATACCTGTGTGAATAATACTTCCCACTGGAACATCTACATCATTTGAACACAAGTATTGTAATAGATCTACTACTTCCAAACCATTTGACTAGAAAATTATATAAATTATATAATTATTGACTGTGTTAATAAATTTAAGTAGTACCTATAATGATATACCTTACCCATAAATCAATCTTAGTGAAAGAAGAATAATCGCTAAGCCCAATTCTTTCACGGCATGCAGCATATTCTTCCGAGACTGGTTCAAACCATGGTGGTTTACTAAATGAATTTGTATATGCTATCTTATAGCTTTGGAATCCATCAATCGTTTCCAAATCTGTGTAGCAAAGCAATCTGTATAATAAAATCCAGTACCAAAGAAGTATTTAATTCGTGAATTATACGTTTTTTTTTTATTTTTAAATTTAAATGTAGTAGACCTACCACTATCTTCGTTTAACTGGAACCAGGTTGGCCGTTCATATCCCATTACCTGGCCAAAAATAGCTCCTGCTTCTCTAAGTCTTGGATAAATTGGAGACATTCTTAGATTTCTACCTGTTTTAAATTCGTGGTGTGGATATTGCAATGCATAATGTGTGCCGGGAACTTCTTTTACTCGATCGCGTAAAAACTTGCGGTTGTTGTGAAGACCCAAGAAACGCGATACGTCTAATTCATACATATCTACAGATGTTGAACCATTTACTATTAATTCTGCAGTAGCTCGACCAACTCCGCCAGCTGCCGATATACCCACCTATAAGAATGATTTCTATCTTTAAAAATAAACGAATTATCCAGTACTTGTTTTAAATTTCTTACCCTATGTATTTTAAATATATTTTACCATTAAACGATCACTAACTTAATACTATTTACCGTTTTCATGCCAGCAGCAATGTAATAATTACGTATTTCTGGGGCTTCGCCAACAATCCATTTACAATCTGGAGAAAATGCTTCTGGACCATTACACAACCTTTCCAAAATTGCATTTCCTAAATTCGGGATTCTATGTAGCATTTGTTCAAGTAAAATGTGGAAGTGATCCCAATCTTCGGGTAAAAATCTTTCATCTGTGCTTTCTGAAATACAATTTAGTTTAGATTCATATTTATAATAAATTATCTGTATATAAAAATGTATATCCAACCAGGGATTACTCCATCTTCAAATGCAGGCTTTGCAATAGGTTCAAAGCCACCAGCCAAAAGCCTACCATTATTTTCTCGAAAATAAATATAACCGTCCAAATCTCTCACAACAGGTGTCATAGGATCTAATCCAGCAATATCTTTAGTGTGTAAATAATAGTGCTCTACAGGATGAAGAGGTACCTAAAAAAACAGATTTGATTACAGAAAAAAAGATTTTTTATATATTTAATAGTAATAATAATAATAGAGGAAACCAACCTTTACATATGGTTCACTTAATTTACCTACATTACGTGCCCAAAATCCGGCGCAATTAACAAAATGCTCACATTCTATGGTGCCACGCATTGTTTCCACAGCTTCAATTCTACCATTTTGAGTAACAACTTTAGTAACTTTGCAGTTCTCAAACACTTTAACACCTGGAAGGATTGTATACTAAATACATTTACATCATTCATTTTCATAACAAGCTGTACCTTTCTTTTTTGCTTCTCCTATTAATGTTAAGCAAATTTGATAAGGATCTCCTACACCATCACCAGGAATCCATAATCCACCAATTAAATCATCCACCCGTAATAGTGGACATATTTCCTGTACTTGCTTCGGTGTAACCAAATGGCATTCAATATTACGCGATCTAAAAATGAAAATAGCCCAATTTTATATAGTTTTTTGATAGATGTACTCATTTATAACTTTTATTATAATTAATACTCACATAGACTGTGCTTTCATTCGTCGAAACACAGTCATACGATCTCTTGTACGTGCTAAAGATAGACTACCACACTGTTTCCAGCCTGTTGGTAAACCTTTCTCTTCCAATTCTTTATACAGTGCTATACTATCCTGTGCAAGTTTAACTTGCGACAAACTTGGCTTAAATGCTCCAACTAATCCTGAAGTATGCCATGTCGTACCACCACCCATCCTTAATGTAAATAAAATAATTAAATAAGTAAATGTGTAGAGTATTCACAGTAACATGGAAAAAACTAAATATTTAAGAACTATATATAGATTTAAAGGAACACCTACCTGCCACTCTCTATGATAACTGTTTGAGGACCTAGTCCCATGAGTGAAAGATGATAAGCGACAGCACCACCCATAACTCCACCTCCACATATAACAACTTTTGCATCTTTAGGAAGCGGATCATCAACATCTTCATTTGTTACTAATGTAGATTTTGTACTACTGTGTTTTACTCTTTGTCGATTATAAAAAACGAAGTTGCTCCATTTTGTTATATATCTTGTACAAACGAACGACTTCGAATTATGCCACATTGTAATAAATATAAATCTGGAATTTGTAATTAATTTGTATACAGAAGTACCTTGAATATTAATTTGTTTATAAATAACTACATTTTTGTGGAGGTTAAATGATTACAAAATGTGAAACATACTTGTGTATATATACGATCACTGTAAATTTTATTTCATATTTATTGCGAAATATAATTGACTTCGTTCGATTAAAAATTAATATTCAGAATTCAAACTATAAACTTATAACTTGGAATCTTATGTGATCTCATACTCATTTTTTTCTGAGTAAAGTAAACCTCAATATAACCAATCATTCGAAGTTAAAATTATTCCCAAATTTAATTAAATATAATATTAATTGTTACTATTTACATTAACAATGCCGGTTAAAAAATATTGAGAAACTGAACACTTATTCTGTAACAGTTGAAGACTATAAAGGTTACATAGAACTTCAGTCTATTTTCTAATGGTTAAGATTGTAATCTTATTAGTTTAAAGATTATTGTAAAATATTTTTGCAGGAAAATATATTTTAAATCGAAATAATAAATTATGAATTATTTAAATATAGAATTTCATTAGCAACGCGTCTGTCATATTTCGATCGAAAAAAATATTAAATTGCATTTTTCATCATTATCATTTTGAAAGTGTGAGGTATGAATGATGTACAATAAGGAAATGATAATTTACATTAATTTAAATAAATAGATATCTTTCATACATTGTTAGTATTTATTGCTCAAAATCTCATAGAAACAAATACAAAATGTGTAAATTCAATTTTTCTAACTATTTTTTAAAAATAGTAATTACTGTTAGTTATTAAAGAAAGGCAAATATTGTATTCAACTTTTATGTGTACATAAAAAATGCGTTATATCGCCAAAAATATTTTTATAATTATCTTATATATGTATAGTTATACTTCATTCATTTTTACATTTAACATTACAAATACATTTTAATACATAAGAATTAAAAATTTCATATACTGTGCATATTTGCAAATGTTCATAATATATGTATATTAAAATACAATGCAACATCAAGATTGATTCAAAGTGAAATGCAATAAACATTAATACTAATTTCGTGTTGATTTATCTCCTGTAACGGCCCAAGTAAGCTTTGCAATTAGGGCAACTGTGATGAACATCCATGCATTCATCGATGCAGCAAGGTATTAAACAACAGCCTAGCCAACATCTGTTAAAATACATATATATAAGAATATTGAAAATTTCGGATTATTAATTATAAAACACTTTTATATTCACCCCATTAATGCAATCACAACACCAGATATGTAAGCGATCATGCCAGGTTCTGTTTTTGTTGTAGTATCAATTTCTGCATGACAATGTGGGCAAATTGTACGTGTTGATTCTGGTCCAAGAGGAACAATTGTTGTTACAATAGTTGGTCCACCACTCATATCTATAAAAATAATAAACTTTCTCTTTAATAATTCATTGTTTCAATCTACTTAATTAAATTATATTTCATAGTAGAAACTATATATGGTTTATAAACATACAAGTTTCAGCAGGTGTAAAAGGGCTAGCAGGTGGCACACCACCCATTGCATGTGAATACCCAGGTGGTGCACAAGGAGGTGGCGCATAAGGTGGTGGTGGCCCAGTTTTATTCATAATGGTTTTCTGTTATTTATATACAGAGTATCTACAATTAAACATGATATTATATAACTGCATGAGAATGAATCACAACTCATTGTTATTAATTTCTACTTATTATTATGCTTGGGTATAGGTAATGTCAAATTTTTTATTCTGATTGTAACAGAATATAAAGAAAATAATTAAAATAATCTTGTAGAGGTAATTACATGTAGTACAGTTTATTAATTATATATTTACACTCTATTTAAAAGTAAAATAACATTGTCAAATGATTAAATGCAAAACTAATAATGAAATTTCTCTCGAAATATTATTCAAATTGAATTAAACAGTTAAAATTCAATTTTTAATCTAATTTATAGCATGGATTAACACATTCAATTGCTTATTAGTGGTAATAACAATGATCATCTCCTGGATATACACGATCTGATTGCGAAATTTAATTTCCCAAATGACATCCTTGTCTATTTGAGTAAAAGTATGACAATATTTAACGATTCCTCCCCACCTTTATATGAACACATAGTATAACATGATCTGCCTACCTTAGTAAAACAATAATAAATTGGTCACTGGGTAATTATTTAGGCGATGTATGAGTAATATCTAATTCTAAATCTTCAATAGTTTGAAGTATAAACATAGAAAGATGGTAAAATATATTTCTGCGCGTACATAGATGGCGTACCATAAGTTTCACGACAGTATTGATCTTCAATATTTCAATACAAACATCATTCGTTTTAATCATTCTTTCGCTTAAAGTAATTAAGAAGATTTCTGATAAATTATTGGTTGATTATGTATACAATAGCGACTCGATACATGTGCGTGGAATTTGTCCTACAGCATTGGATGAATATTTTTTTTGATTGGCTGAATAAGCCGCTCTGTGAGCAGGTGAGCTTACGAATTTGTCGCTCTCAAACATAGCGACCGCTCTCTTGTAGCAGCCACAAACATTATAATAAAACTAGTTTAACCCTATGCGGACGGAGGCGGCTATTTGCCGACACTCGTCCCCAAAGGGTTAATACTAGTGGGCGCCATCGGTGGAAAAACGCCCAAGTTTGTAGTGAAAATAGTTCCCACCGTTTAGAGAAGATGACGCCACCGATACCTTTTAATCGATTATAGTCTATTTTTCATAAATGCATAATTAATACAATTCTTTGCTTTATAGCACTACAATATGTTATTTCAATACATAATTTAAACATTTATCTGCTTTTACATATGTAAATGTAGCATTAATTATCGATCCTTAGCTGGTAGCGCCATCCAGCAAGAACAGTGAGAACCATTTTTACTACAAACTTAGGCGTTTCCCCAACGATGGCGTCCTGTAGTAATAAAACGATTGTTAGTATAGTTCAGTGGTTGGATGCTATGAAGGAGCAGTCGTTATGTTTGGGAACGAAAAGTTTGTAGCTTACCAGCCCACAAAGCGGCTTAGTGAGCGGTGACCTTTCTAGATGCATCCATTTTGTGCAATGTGGACAAAGCTTAAGAAATCAATATCGGTTTATAGTGCATATCTATGTATATCTAAACCATAGATCAGAGCGTGGTATTTAATCTTACTTGACACAATAAACAATTATTTGCCCGGTGCGGAGGAAGAACAGATGTTCAGTGACAGTGTGTATTGTTAATCTTCGTTTACCTGTGTTTAATGAAAGCTACTTTGAAACGCTAAATAACTGTGAAGGGATACAAACCTTCAGATTTTCTCATTGAATTTTTTTCATAACATCAAATATTTTCTTTTATCTCCGATAAGACATACGTCACGTTTTTTTGTAATGTAATGTCCTTCAGTATTTAAAAGTTTATCGTTCTTTATTTTATATAAAAATAAAAAAAAATAGTCGGGTTAAAGTCTAATTTTCTTTTAAATACTGATGATCGTATTTATGTCAAGTTTTCACTATCAGTTGACCGAAATATTTTTTAATAAAAGTGAAAAATGGTGCTAAGTCGAAATGATAAACGGAAAAGAAAAGAAGGAGATTTGGTGGACCTTATGGAGCCACTTTCAGAATCCCCAAAGAGGTGAGTATTCAATTAAAAATTGTTGCTTGCAATATACTTTTTGATTTAAAAATAAGATGTATGTAAATTCGATAAATAACAAATATTTTCGTGATATTTGTTATCCAATAAATAATTTTTCAGAAATTTTATTCAATTGTTGTGTGTATACTTTATTATAGGACCAAAGTGCATGCACAAAGAAAGTTTGCACAGGGTGCAACAACAGTTTTTAATGCTTCGCACACTCCAGTTAAGGATAAAGAGAAAACTAAACCTACAGTTATAACAGAGTTAATAACACATAAGCGACCTAACACAGAGGATTTTTTGACATTTTTATGCTTCAGAGGTTTCTTAATTTCTTTATAAATAATATTTTCCATTTTCTAAATAGTACTTTATGTATTAATGCTTAATTAAAATTTATATTTAGGTACACCAATTTTACCTCCAAATTTGAATTTTTTCAATGTTGGAAATAAAAAAGAAAAACCAGATCCCAAGTCAATACGTACACCAACAGATAAAGTGACTTCTTCTACTAGTACATTTACTGAAAATCAAAAGCCAGATTCAAGTCAGAAGCCTATTACCAAAATGAAACCTATTGTTACAAATAAGAAGAAGGTTGAAAACACATTACAAAAAAATATTACTAAATTTAAGACTACAACATCAACTGTACAAGCACTGAAGAAAAAGTATCAGGAACAGCGTCTTGCTAAAGAAAGGATTAAAAATAAATTTAAAACATCATGTGTTATGAGAACAAGATCTCGTACAGAACGAACAATTTTAAAACCTGCAAACAAACTGGCACCTAGGAAGTTTCTACCAAGAATTGAAACCAAACGACTTGGTTTACGAAGTAGTGTACTTATGGATAAGGTAAAAAAGACTTCTCCAAAAGTAAAAATTATACCACCTAAGCCAAAGAAGAAAGTTCTTGTAAAACAAAAGAACAGTGATACATCAAATTCAGATTCCACATCTGAAGAAGAAGAAGAAGATGAAGAAGAAGAAGAAGAAGAAGAAGAAGGACCTTCAGAAAAATCTGTACCACAAGTAAAACGTTCGATGCAAAGGAATGTTCAAAAGAAGATATGTACAAGAAGTAAATCTGAAATGAGAAGAATTACTCGTTCCCATAATGGAACAAATTCTCCAAAAAATCTTTGTAGAAGGCCAACTAGAAAGACTAAAGAGGCAGCTGCAGTGTACATGGAAATTCTTGGAAGGAAACTTGTAAGTCCTGACTTGGAAAATGATGATAATCTATCCATGGACAGTTTTCCAGAATTGCCAAATGCGCGTAAAATTGCCCAAACAGAAATTGAAATTAAGGCCAAAGTAAAACAGTCTATTACAAAGACTATTACAAAAAATAAAGATGGTAAAATCACTTCTATCCAAAGTACATCCAATAAACGATTGGATAAGACTAAAACTAGTAAAATTGCCTTTAAAAGCAAAAGGCTTGTAAAAGTTCAAAAATATTGTGAAATAGATAGCGACGAAGAATCGATAAGTTCTAATGGAACTAATAATACAAGGCCTGTAACAAGACGAAGTTTAGGGAAGTTAAATAAACCCGCGAGTAGATCTCTTAGATCTTCCTCTAAAACTGTAGTCACGCGAATGGAGATTCAAAATAATGCAAATATTAAATCAAAAGCTCAGATTCAAAATAATTTAAGGTTCAATAAAGACAAGTTTGTAATGAAACGGAAACGAGAACAAAATTTTAATAAACCGGTATACGACAAAAGTGCTGGCTTAAAAAATAAAGAAACAAAAAATACTGCTCATGAAAATACAGATTCTGATGAAGAAACATTAGGGATGTTGCTTAATAAGTTAAAAAGGAAGAAAGATATTCAAGAACAAAATGAACAGATTGCTACTAATGAAAATAATAGCAATCACGATACTACAAATAAAATTGAACAGCCCGTAGATAAACATTCTACAAAGGTAGATCTCTTAAAAGTATCAGACGACGAAGAATCGTTTCGGGGGTTTACGAAAAAAGCGATATCCAAAGTTTTAAATTCTTGTCAAACACATGTTAATGCTAATCTTCTTGCTACAGAAAAAACTGCTAATGAATTAGAAACATCCGAAGCAGAAAAAATACAAGACTCAAATACAGTTAAGAAACAGGAAGATAAGGATAAATCTTTGCTAGATAATATTTCTTCTCCTACAATAAACGTGTCAAATGATGAATGTGTTCAGTTTGAAAAAATTCAGAAGACAAAATCAGAATTACTTGATGAAACAGAATCTCAAACAACATTATTAGCAAATACCGAGAAAGAATGTCATCATAAAATAGAAATTTCTTCCACAAACATTCTAGACATGTCTTTGTCAACATTACATGTAAGAAAAGAGAAAGTAAACATGTCGACTGAACAAATCGAGAAATGGTTAAATGAAAGTTCCTTTGCTAAAGAGGAAAGTAAGCTAGAAATGGAAAATGTATCTACGTTCAAATACGATGTTTGCGAGAAAAAGGCTGATGTCTCGCATTTGTCTATCTCGACAAAAATTCAGCACTTAGTGAGACCAGTTAACGTCACGCTTTCTAAATTAGCGGAAAAAGCAAATATTAAAGATCGTTTGAACATACAGAATAAGTATGTACCAATAACAACAATTGATATACAGCCTGTTGATGCAAAGCAGCAAAGTGAGCCTACTAATGGAAATATAAATATTAACAAAAATAATATAGATGGAAAAGAAATGATTAAAGGACGAAATGTAAAGCCAAATAAAGACTCATGTCTTGGAGAAGATAGTGATATAGCAATAAAATCTGATCAAAATTCAATAGATGGATCTACTGAAAAGAAAGTATCAGCAGAAAAGAAATCCATATTTCAACCTAGAAAACCATTTTTACCTAAAGTTAAAGAGCGTAAAACAGTAACTCCCAATGCAAATGCATTTTCCCCAGAAAATGAAAGTAGCGTTTATGCGTTTGAAAGCGATACCGAAGTCCCTATTAATACTCCCTTTAGGCGCAAAGTTCGGGACTCGAATAAATCAAACATCACTGGTACTTCATCTGAAAGTGAGACAAATAAATGTATAGAAAAAATAATTAAAGGCAATTGTGAAATATCAGAATCTAAAGAAAAACCGAATAATGTTGTTTCAAAAAACGAGAACAAAGTCGTAGAATCGAAAAATACATCAAATTCATTATTAAATGTTAATAGGTTTGAATTACCCAAAAACTTTGCAACCTTAGCTAATATTCAAGTTCTACCACTAGATAAATTAACAACAACTTGGAGCAATGTAAACTGTAGTGCTTCGATAGCTGTACAAGTAAATCTTGATGATAACGCGCAAGGACAAGAACAAATAGGTGAAGGAGACACAAATCAACAAAAAAGTATAGAAATATCTACTCAGACGGAAAACAGTAATGAAAATGATGATGAAAACGATGGTCAACTATTTTATATACCTCTGCAAGCGGTTACGAGAAATGGACCGAATTTAGTCCAAGGACAGCAATTAATTCAAGGTGTAGCCGTTAAACTTGGTACTGAAGGACCAAATGGTCCTAATCAGAAAGTTCTTTTAAGAGCAAAATTAGTTACTAAACCTCCATCATCGATTGCACGTTGCCCTCCCGTGGGTACAGTGCAGCCCACGACTCGTATACCACCAACTTCTGCTCTTATAACTGAGAATCCAGTACCATCTACTTCTGCAAGTGCAACCTCAGTTATGACTGTGTCTGAAGTCCAACCGACCACTCCATGTAAAACTGAAACTATAATACAGACCATGAACAGACAAAATATTGGTATTGGGGGAATAGAAAAATTAACAAAATCCCCAAAAACTTCTAGAGAAAGAAAAACTTCTATCGATTCGAGTAAAAATGGGAAAAGGTAAAACCATTTTTCACATTGTACAGTACCTTATTTAATTGTTTTTGAATGTACATTTAAAATTTCAGATGTCAAATTAAATCTAAACAGAAAGGTAATGAAATTTGTTCTCCAACCAATAATGTAACATTTCCAAGTGCAAAGAATGAAAGCAATGGAGCACGTTTAGTCGAAGCTCCAACGTTTCATCCCACTGAGAAAGATTTTCAGGATCCTCTGGAATACATAGATAAAATAAGACCAATTGCAGAGAAGTTTGGAATATGCAGAGTTGTACCACCGCCTAATTTTAAAGTAAAATATATACAAATAAAATTATTTTACCTAAATATACATATTTTTAAATAAGGATGTATAAATGATACAATTTGTTCACTTTTAATTTTTCCTTCTAGCCGGAATGTAAAGTATCGGATGATATGCGATTTACTGCATATAATCAGTACGTACATCGTATGCTTCATAGATGGGGACCCAATGTAAAGGAAATGATGGCTATAAAAAAATATTTAGCCACACAAAGCATAACATTAACTCATCCACCTTGGGTAATACTTCTTACTTAAAATTTACTTTTTACTTTACATGCATACCACATTTATATCTTTTACAGATTGGTGGTATGGAAGTTGATTTGCCCCATTTATATCAAACGGTTCAAAGCTTAGGTGGATTGAAAGAAGTTATTGAAAAGAAAAAGTGGCAAAAAGTAGCAGATGGTATGAAGATACCAAAATCTGCCCAAGATCGTGTAACCAAATTAGACGACATTTATTGTAAATACTTATTACCATACGATACATTATCTCCAGGTATTTCTATATAAATACATAAACAAAACGACACAATTTTTCAATTTATTTATCGATAAAATTATGTATTTAGATGAAAGAGGTAAATTGTTTGATGAAGTTGAATCTGAATGGATGAAAAGGGAAAGTAGAGCTTTGCAAAGACAAAACGCACCAGCAAATGATAATGAAGAAGATGAAGAAGATGATAGCTCTGATGAAATTGAAGAATGCATTGTTAAGGTATGAATTTCAAATTATAATTGTATATATTAACATTTCTTTCGATTTACGAAACCTTTTGTAATTTTACAGGGTAGAAACATGCCACTAAATGCTTTTTATCGTATCGCACGGAACACACAACGTATGTGGTTCGGTGAAAATCAACGATCTGGAAATGAAATCGAGGGTGCTTCTGCTGATGAAGTTGAAAATGCATTTTGGAAGCATGTCGCAGAAAGAAAGCGACACGTGTGCGTGCATGCCGCAAGCATTGATTCGAGTGGTCGTGGTTTTGGATTTTCCGTTGCCAAGAATAGTCCATTTGCTAGACATCCATGGAATCTTAAAGTACTTACTAACAATGCTGGATCAGTATTAAGAGCTTTGGGTCCACTAATGGGTATATAAACTGTTCACTGCATTTCTATGACTAACTAAGATATACGATGAGTTACGACATGCACGGGAAACTAGGCTATTTTTGAGCGTAGAGATTCGGTTATTGCCGGCAATATCAATTTAACGTTTTCATTGATGAAGGACTTAGGACTTACTTTCACTTTGTTTTCGTCCTCAATAGCCGTCTCATGTCGTAAACTTGGATTTTCGAAAAGTGATTGAAATGACCCTCACCTAACGGTAAAGGACATTTGGGGATCACTTAGACTTGAGCTCTCTCGTGAGTACAGGTTCAAAAGAAAACGCGTTGTAACAAGACGATAATTCTATAATCAACGAATTAAAATCATGTATACTCTATTTACTTAAAAAAAATAAAAGGAAACAAAATTATTCTTCTTCATTGTTTATAATGGATAATATTATTTCTAGGGGTGACAGTACCAACACTTCACGTGGGCATGCTATTCAGTGCATGTTGTTGGTACCGCGATCCGCATGGTCTTCCTTGGATAGAGTATTTACATACAGGTGCTAAAAAGATTTGGTATGGCATACCAGACGAGCATAACAATAATTTTAGAGAAGCTCTTTCAAAAATGGTGCCTCGATATTGTAAAAATAAGACTATATGGCTACCTTCGGATACGGCGATGGTTCCTCCAGAATTGCTTGTTAGTAATGGAGTATCACTATGCCAAACTGTGCAGGAACCAGGGCAATATATAATTGTATTTCCTAAAGCGTTTACATCAAGTATATGTACTGGCTATGTAGTATCTGAAAGCGTTTACTTTGCACAACCATCATGGTTAGAAACTGCTGAACAAGTGTTTAAAGTGAGTAAATAAGTAAATAACGAATGATATTATAAATAAATAACATTTCTTGTTAATAATTCTGGCTCATCATTTTAGGACATACAAGATAGCTGTGAGCCATCGATTTTTTCATTCGAAAGATTGTTATTTAATATTATTAATGATTCTAGATCTCATGTAGAAGTAATGAAACAGGTAAAAAATTGATACTAATACCGTGTGATGTACTTTATTTCGTGTTTTGGTATACATGTAAGTATGTTTTTAGATTTTACCAAGTGTGATTAAAATTCGTGAGAAGGAAATAAATTACCGAAAACAGTTGGAATCAGTGGGACTCACAAATACTGAAAGATTGCCTTTACCAGATAGTGGAAAAAGAAAGAAAGGGAAAAAAGTAAAAGAAGATGATGGCGATTTTGAATGTGAAACTTGTAGAGCTAACCTATTTGTTTCATTGGTTAATAATTCACAAGATGACAGCGTCTATTGCTTACCACATGCATTACAGTTACTTAATAAGAAAAAGCAAGCTTTAAAACATTATACTCTAATGTATACATATAACGAGGTAAATAAATCTTAATAAATACATAATTTTTTAAATTATACAAATAATAAAATTATTTACAGTAATCTACGTTTTTTTGTTCGTAGGATGAATTGGATGATTTGATTCATAAACTAGAAGAAAGAATTGAAGCCAAAACTAAAAAGACTAATCAAATCAAACAAGCTAAGTAACGTGTCTGAAAATCTATTTATTAAATTATATAGGTAACAGTTATTTATTACTCTATATCAAAATAATTATCAAGATTTTGTTATATAGATGTATATCATATTTATTCTTCGTATCATAGTTATATAATTGTATATAAAAATAAGTTTTTCTCGTTTTAAAGGGAACGAACTTAGTGCATATTTAAAAAATTGAATGACTAATGCATTTCTAATAAAACCTTTAATTTTTTAATACGAATAAAGTTACTATTATTTTATATTATTTCTATATATATTTATACACGTATTTCACTCCGTTTTCTTCAAGTATATTAAAAAGCATAAGATGTATGAATCTATAAAGTGTTTCAGCAAAGTTCATAAAATTATAAAAATATAATCTTACCGAATATTTCTTATGATAAATAAAGTCTATACCATTTGTTATTTAAGAAGTAAGTAAATATTTAAATAGTACCATACTTATGTATACAAAATTTATTATGAATACTTTGGAATTATAAAGCAAAGAATTATAACATCTTCAATATGAGATCGTATAAATTAAATAAATTTTGGGGCAAAATAACGTAATTTATATTATTATATAAATCAGCCTGTATATCATGAAATTCAATGAATATCACATTACAACACAAAATATAACCTCCTGAGAATTTATAAATGTTTTACTTACACATTAAGATAAATTATTATAAAAGAAATGCTTTGTAAACATAATATAATTATTATTAAGTAATAAACATTCTTTTACATACATACATAATTATGCACATTATAGAAGAATACTGAACTTTGAGTTTGTTTATTAACTTTTAACTAATTAAATTGTAATTAATTATATCAATTTTTAGCCGTAATTATTAATAATTTACAACATACAAGATTTATGTTCAATACTCTATTACCTTCTATTATGCTGTGCGCTTATTCAAAATCATAATAGGAAAATACAATAAACATGTAGTAAATAAACCAACGAAAGGAACCAACCGAATACAGTTAATTAGCATTATTTACGAAAGGAATGTTCTCCTAACCTCTTTCTACGTTAAACACTTCAATACTCTTTTTATACCCTATATTTGAATATCACTATCAAATAAATGCTAACATAAAAATTCTTATATTTATATTATGCGCGGTATGAGAGAAAACAGTTTGGTATGTTAATATGAAATTCATTAGTATGAATTACATATTTGAAAGTAACACTTATTAATGAAAATTAATCAGAAGATTCTATAGGAAATAAAATAATTAGGAGATGTAGTTAACTTCATATGCAAAAATATGTATAAAATGCAGTAAACGGTATGCATATTGGATATGGAATAATTTCCATAATAAATAAATTTTGTTTCATTGCATGCCAATTTCAATGGTCTACAATTTACTGTTCTCTACGTTGCACTATGTTAGTCAGTATCTGAGTAGAATTTTCGTGGCCTTTGATTACATCATCTTCCTCTGAACTAAATTCCGCATTTAAAAGGTTTGTTAAAGATGTTGATTTCTGAGTTAACAAAGGCAAATTTATATCCATCCCCTCTTCGGTTTTTAAGTTATTAGTTAGAGAAGAATTTAGTGGTAATTCCATGTTTTCACTTTTTGTATTCCTATTTGATAATATTTTTTGAACAGTATGAATCATAATTCCACCAAGGCACATTAACAATCCTATGAAGTTGAGGCCACTCATTTGATCGCCTTTCCATTCAACAGCCAAAATTAATATACATATTTCCTAAAAAAAACATTCATGGAAGAAAAGATTTGTATACAAATATATGGTATATTTTTAATATGAAATGAATATAATTTTGACTTACCTTAGTTATGCCAGTAATTGAAAGAGTGAGACTAGAAGTGTGTGTAACAACTAAGAATTCCATAACTTCCATATGAAAAGCTATAAAAGCACTTCCAAGCACAACAGTTGTAGTCATTGCAATAGAGTGAACATCACTCCAGTCGGTAGTTATGAAATTACTATACAGATGAGATCCTACAAAAATAATTTCTTCTTTAATACAGAAATTTAAACCTGTGTTGACTAATATTTAAGTATTATGGAAAATTTTACCTTCAAACCACAGCATCACTGGTATAATAGGCACTAACATCCATAGTTGCATGTAGTACATCATATCAATTGGACTTTTCATTCCCACTTTAGATTTTTGCATGATCAGTTGTGTCATAGTCCACCGAATACCACTTGAAAATGATGCTAAGAGGCAGATTGCAAAGCCAAAAATTCCAAATTGTGTTGATTTATAAGTAAACATAAATAAACCACCTGATATCATTACTACGATGCATATTAATGACCAAGACTTCCTTTCTAATTTTAAGATAAGAGCAAAACCAAGAATAAAAATAATTGTTGTTGATTTTGTCATACTATACCTGCACAAACACATAATGTAATTTATAATAGTAAAAATATATTTTATTATAATAGCAATTAAATATATACATACAATGAAATTGTAATTAATGAAAGTGCCCAGTTGGATAAACCAACATCAAGACCACTAGCTATGCCTACTGGCATAACCATTACTATTATGCTTTGCCAAGGAAGCTTTAATTGTTGTTGTCTCTTGTAACATGTTCTGACACATCTTATTATGGCAGATAAGAGAAACTTCATTGCTAAATGACATATTACCACGGTAAGAGGAAAATTAAAACCCTACAATTACAAAAGTAGCAATTAAAGGTAATGAAAACATCTGAAATAAATATAAATAATAATACAAGTTTCTATAAAATTAGAAATTGCTTCCTTACATATGTTTTATAAAGCCATTGTAAGTAAAATGTTAAGCCTACGGATAAACTAAAATAAATAAGAATTAATATAAACGTTTGAATGGCTTTTTTCCAAGCTGATGTTTCCTTTTTAATAGTGCCTGAGAATTCTTGAACAGGCTGAAGGAAACAGTCTGATGTATCGTCTGTATCTTTGGCAATTTCATATTTTATATGTGACCTTGTCATACTTCAAAGGAAAACAGTCTGTAAATAAATAAATTTTTACAGTAAAACATCATGTTGCTTGAAATGTTCAATATTAATCTACAAAAGGTGATACATTTTTTAAAATCGTATCCAATGTTTTTATTATTCGATTTAAATTAATAATTAAAATTCATTGATTATTATGATAATTTGCAATGTAGCATAATATTACTAATCTGCATATCAAATACTTCAAACGTACCGTCTTGTACTCCTTCTGATACATAAAAATTGTTAACAAATTGTTACGTTTGACGTTCGACATCTGTTATCGAATTTTATGTTCACTAATACAAGTATTCATATGCCAACGAAGACACAATTGTTATATTCATTCTGGAAAAGTACAATATATAGAAATTATAGATGCGAACAAAAATTCGAGGGAAACAGAATTAAAACGTGTTATTATTACTTACCTCGATATTGACACATACGAAAAAAATATGGAACCATGTATAAACATAACCTAAAAGCTACACAAGTTAAAAGGAATGTAATAAATCATTTGATAAATAGTGTATCTAGCCTATCACCACGATCAATTTATTCATCAAATTTTATTCGTAAATATCTTGATATTAGTAGGTGTCAATACATTGTAATCGTAAACGTAAGATAACATCGCAATCGCTTTGATTGCATCTAATTATTGTTTGCGATATATTCCATTGATCTTATGAGAAGTTTGGTATATAAATATTAAATAAAACAAAAATTAAAATAATATATATACGTAAAATATAATAGGAAATTAGAAAAGAGATGTTTAATTTTTCATATAATTTTGTATAATTTTTTCAATAATTTAATCAAAATACAAATAGAATTAACGTTCATGTAACTTTTATTCTAAGCAAAATGTACACTGACTTGAAGAGGTCAAATATAAAAAACAGTCGTGATCTTTGTATAAATGGAAATAGTTATATCTAGTAAAAAGGTATTCAAAATCAATTCACTGTTATCAAGTCAGTATAAATTCTGCTTTTATATACATATAGCTCTCAATTTTTTGATAAAATATATTTTAAAAAACTACTAAACAATATTATTTACTAATTAAATGCAGATTACACACTTTATATCATATATTACATTAATTTATCAGAATAAGTGAGAAATTTTGATACTTGTATAATGATTTGAAGACAAACCTCAGATTTAAATTTATATATTAAATGTAAAGCTTGTAGTAAGTGAATACAAATATTTCTATTAAATAACTTAAATGTTTAATTGTCGATGATAATACTTTCAATCGACTGTTCTTGATTGGATTGTCTTCAATTCATATTATGTTTTAATCAGACTCTATCGTATACATTAATTCATGAATATACATATACAGCATTGTTAGAAAATAGTATATTACAGTTGTCCTGAATGTAATCAGTTGCATATCCTTATTACACATATATAATTAGTCGTTTCTTATTTGTGTGTTATCTACGGTCACTACGTCCACCATTTCGATATCCCCCACGACCACGAGAATTAGTTTTTGTTGCAACAGCTGTTTTTGTTGTCGAGTCACCAGAATATCTTGCTGATCCCCCTGGAAGTCCTGCAGTATTACCACTGTTTCCACCATTGCTTCCATTACTACCATTTCCACTTTTTGTTGTTGTAGAGCTACCAGATGTACCAGTAGTTGGTGTTGTTGAATTACTTTGAATTGCCTGTAACAAAATATATTAAAATAGTATCGTTAAGTGCAGTTGTACCATGGATGATACTATTGGAAAATAATTAAAATTAACATTATATCAAATGTACCAAAGGTTGCCTTCCAGGTTGACCAGCAATATTATTTGCATTTCCATTATTTGTAATGCTATTATTAATGTTACTACCGGGTGGACCAGATCCGCTTTGATTAATCATTTGTTGTGCTAAAGCAGGATTTGGTTCGCTCATGTTTAGTTGCTCGTTGATGACCATACAGAATTCTCCAATTTTTTGTATGTCCCCATTTTTTCCTGAATACAATGTTAAGCACTGTCTCCAAACAGATGCATACCCTTTTGTTAATCTTACTATATCACCCGGTACTAAAAGTTGACCAGGCTCGTCCCAAATTGAAACGTTCATGCAAGCTGTACTGTCCGCCACTTTAAACGTTCGAACTTCGCGGTTTTCTTTGGTGATGGTAGGATGGCCAACTTCCAGAACAATAAACACCACATTAATGTTTTTTTGGCCCGGCCGTATATCTTTTATTAGTACGTATTCCATTGTCTGATAATCAATGTACACTTTACACTAACACACTTTGCGAACAATCACCTCCACAAGTGTATTTGAAAATACGTCAGATGTGCGCTCTCTACTTTATATGTCGTTTAATTTAACTTCCCTATTATCTTCGATAACCGTCAAAGCTCGTGTATCGTATCGACTCTATTCTAGAAATACTTAGGGTAACACTAATGAAAGTTTAATGGTCTCGATTGCGTAAAATAAGAAAGAAGTTCATTAGAAAAGTAATACGGGTGTTATGCTGTTGGTAGCTGATAGAGCGAATGTCAGCCATCTTATTCTAGTACGTCATCCAAACACCAGTATCGCCACTGTACGACAATATGCGCGTCATCCAAACAATTTAGCAGCAGCTAGCTAGATCTAATTCTAATGCCGCATTTACACACTCATCGAGCGTTCCCGCGTTCCCGAGCGGGGATCAAATTATGCAGAAGAATAATGCAATTGTAATATTTCAACAATATGAAAAAGAAGAATTATTTAAATGAGATACTTATTTAATATACATTTCAAATTTATGACAAAAATAAAAATATGACTTTGTGTATATTCGTACTTAGTATTTTTATTGTTCATTCGTTTTCCATTCTTGTCATTTTCAAAAAGCGTTTGTTGTATGTGAGATGTTTTCCACATCAGAGTTGATCAGAGATACCAGTAGATGTATTACATACTATTGTACTTAGTTCTTTTTTATAACCAGTCAATGATCTTTTCATAAATTAACATTAATGAATGCATTATCAGTTGTAAACATTAAATTTGTTCTTGTTGAAGATTCTATAAAATATAGCTTAACCGCAGAGTTATAGAATTTGACCCACTAAACAGTTTAAAACCTATACTATACTTCGAAATGTCACAGTATTAGTGAATGCGTTTCACTATCGTGCAACGTATATTCCGATTATTAAATATTTAATTTAATAAAAGTATTGAAATAGTTTCACTATTCTCTGAATGGCTATCAATATTAACGAAAACGGATAACCGTAAAACGTGTCTCAACATACGTTATGTTGTCTTAATCGTATTGGTTTGAGATCAAGTTGATGTCAACATTACGTTTTTAAATAATGGACGTGGACGATTCAATTGATCCAAAAGAAGTAAAAGTAACTCTTGAAACATATAAAAAATTGGCTCACGATTTTGTAAACCATGACACAATCTTAAAGGTAAAATTTTGTTAAATTGATTAGTATCTTACGATTACTACAATCTTTTTATTGTAGGATAAAACAGTCCTGTCGTATGTAGCATACGTCTTAGAGATACCCGATATTGAAATTATGAATTTGGGCTTAGATATTCTCGAATTGTTTGTTAAAAATGTAGACAATTATGTACACATAACCTCTACTTTCGGAATCCGAGAAGCCCTGGATGCAATTATAAATAAATATAATGTAGATGAAACAAAAATAGCCAAGCGGGCTCAATATGTAAAAAATGAAATAGAAAGAATGAAACCACCAATATATAATTTACGTAGCAGATGCAGAAGAGTTATTGAACCTAAAAAACTAAAAACTCATGTTATCATGTTACATGTTCAAGGTTTATTACCGGTAAATACAATCAATACGTGTATGTTTTAATTGCGGATGTAGTAACTGACACCAATTATATATTAATTAGGATACCCGTTCAGAATTGGAATCAATATTGATAAGAATTGAAGGATTAGTTTCTCTTGTAGTCGATGTGGAACATCAACGTGTTACGATGCGTACGCTAAGTTATGTCACAGCAAAACAAATTGCAGAAGCTATTCAGAACAATACAGACAACATGGAAGCAAGATTAGTTGCAAGAAATAAGTTTAATCAAGAATATCTTGTCAAACTGGTATATGGACATTTGATGTATACGTTAGAAGTAGAATTACATATTTTCTTAATAACGTATGTTATAATTTGTAGGTTCATACAGGCGATAGTTGTGACACTGATGACATGCCGGATTATTTACCTGAAGAAGAAGAGCAAGAAGATGAGAAAGAGGGTGTTGTTTCCTTGTTTACTGGTTTAAGACAAAGTGCTTCATCGTTATACAAATCTACTACTGAATTTCTTCAGAATTCGTTTTATTGGTAAATTAAAAAAGTACTTACAGTAAGCATCACTTTTTTTATTCTATGCTCTGCGAGCAATTTAATAAAAGTAGTAAATGTTTGAAGTTGTTAATTTGATGAAAAAATGTTTTTATCAAATCTGTTTTGAATGGTTCATTAATAATCTTATAATATTATGACATTTTTTTAGATTTTTATTTTTTATTGTAGCATCAGGAGTATAAACTTGTTCATTTTTCATTAGTATTAATATTATATTCATGCATTAATCGTATTTATTATAAAATACCAAGTACCCAAAGTGTTTACTTTTTGTATGTATTTCCAAGACTGTCAAGTGTATACACATTGAAGAATTTTGCTTTACAATTCTGATAGCAGCCAAATTTTGATGTCATTGCTTAAATTTAGAAAAAAATTAGATTATATACATATATATATATACAATAACTTAAATTTCTTATAAATTTGTAACTCAACAAAGAATTATAAAGCATTGAAAAAGTACAAGATATGAAGAAATTAGTCATGAAACCTTGGGCTAATTATACAGGTTAGTCAAAGATATGATAATGACTAAGTTATTGAATGTAAATAAGGTTGTACAAGGAAAAGATTTTATCATTTGTATGTGTATCGTCAATTTAGCATTTATATTATACAAACAAGTTTATTTGGAATAACATTGAGTTCCCTAAATTATAACTAAGCACGAAAGTGGTTGAAATACCTCATTACTGTACACATAACCTTTTCTGTTAGAAGTTTTTTTTTTTTTATAATGCACTTTTCTCATTACTTTTACATTATTGGAAAGTGGCTGTGCGAATATTTATTGTATGTATTTTAATAGGTTAATGTACTTCTGTATAAAATGAAATTATAGTATGTACTATTGGCTCTCGTACGACTGTATTTATTGCCTAATGAAATTTGAACATTAAATAATGTGTTTTGTTTTTAAACTTTAATGAATATGGACCACTGAAGTCTTGTACTTTGTTTAAAAAAAATTTAAGTTTAACAATATATGATATAATCTGAATAAGATACATTAAAATAAAACGAAATAAATCGATTATTGTAAATCAACTTTATTGTTTGTAACACAAATTTTATGTACCGTTTCTATTATTACAAAATAATAGAACTAGTCAGTTTAGCTGCCACTGCACAAGAAGGAACAATTTATGCAACTACTCGCATAAATATAATCGATACAATATGTATGATTATTAGAAAGTACATCTCTGTATGTCTTATTAATTACTTCGTCCAAATGAGCACATCAAAATGTTATACTGTATCTTATTTACTATTTTCTTAAATTTATGTTGTATTGTCTATATTTACAAAGTATAGTAATTGTCATTAAGGCAATTTGAGTTTCAAAGCAGGTACAATAGATGGATGCAGAACAATACTTTGGACAATTGAGTTGACAGTGTCGTCTAGTTATGCATACGTAATTGTAATACTTATTGTTATTAATTTGAAAGAATGAGTATGACTTTCATGTACAGTCCAATACTATTGTTGAGTTTCAGTTTGAAACTCAGACAACCTGCATTGTTTTCACTAAGTTTATTATGCAACTTATACTAATTTTATTATAAACATAGTTATTAAATTAGATTTTTCCATTTTATAATTGAGAAATGAAATAAAATCTATTGCATGCAGTACTTTACATACATCAATAATAAGGTTAACTGTAAAAATGTAATTTTAGTGCATCCAAAATATTTTATGACGCTGTTATAATTTAATTTATTTCAAGAATAAAATGTTCACTAAATAGAAAAAGTCATTGTTTCGGCATAATTCTATTTCCAATTATAAATTTTAAGTATTTCATATTGCACATTATAACATTATTAATTTTTAATTTTCTTTTTCTTTAAATACGTACTTTAATAGTCATTGTTTGGTGTACTTTATGCAAATTGCCATAGGCACTTATGTTGTAAAATTTATTTAATCATTGTCATTCGGTTGCTTATTATCTAAATCGTTTCTTAAAGTATGTATCTTTCTAATGAAATATTTATTCTTTTACGACTCCATTGTATTTATATACAATACTTTCTTGTAAACTATCGTATAGTTATACGAGTTTACAATTTTCTTTAATTGGTTTCTACACTATAGTAGATTCTATATATACATACTAACGAATACAATCATCATTAATTGATTCTGCATTCATTGTAGAAATTATTAATCCAAAATTGAATTTTTGTTATTAATGTGAAACGAATGCAATACATGATAACAATTGATTCATACTTAGATGCAAGTGATATATCTACTACAAGGAACTATAAAAAAATAAGAGATAATGGAATGAATATTTCGCGAGGCAATGAATTATGTTTCCTTTTGTATGAAAGTATGAGGTGGACGTATTTACAAATAATACTATATAGTAACATGTTATGGAACATGTTTTAGTAGATCTGCATCCCTATTGAAAATATCAATTTATACTCAATTTTTTTTCTTAGAAAATGTAATTATGGCTTTAAGCGTCCATTTACTATAGCATAAAGTGAACTAATGAACTTGGATAGTAAATATTTTTCATAAAATATCGGAAGTTGTACTTAGTTTCAGAACATGACTTAAAACTGTATCAGTTATTTTCAGCTAATATTCAAAGTGTTCAGAATGTTGATGTAATAGTTCATTGATAAATAATGCGTAAAATTAATGTACATACATATCTAACATATATCTTAAATGGGTAATATCTACAATATTTAACATAAGATAGAATGAGAACATACACTACAGAAATGCACTGGCTATTAGGTACTTATAATATATCACTTATAAATGTGGTGAGATATAAAAATCATATTAACCTAGACGCTGCTTTCTACTTTCAAATTTGCACCTACTGGTTGAGATGCAATTGTAATCTCACTGACTTCGTCTGTTTCTGATTGACTCGACGTATCAGAAACATCATCTATTCCTTTTCTCTAAAGAAATAAAAATATAACGCGTTATACTATATTTCAGACGCTAATGAATAATAAAATAATACTTTAACCTACCTTGTGAGAATAACGAATGTTCCGAAGTACTCTTTGCATATCAGGATTACTCTCTAACGTGGATGACTGACTGGACGGAGGATGTGAATATTCAGAAGTGTTTTCCTCATCGGAAGGTAACACTCGTTCTATTCGTACTGTTGCGTGTTTAAATCTTCTTAATCTACATCCAGGACCAATTGGTCTTCTTGCAATACTAAAAGCATAAAATTCTTAAGTTTTAAGTTCTTAGATAAATTATTAATAATTATATTATTTTTTTTTAGACTATGTACCTTCTTCTTCTAAGAGAATAATTATATGTGTAACTTGGATCTTCGCCTTCTTCGTCTGACCAGCTTTCTTCGCAAGCATCATCTTCACGATCGCATAAAGGATCTATGCTTTCAGAGCAAGGCCGTGTTTTAATTTCAGATTGCTCTTGCTGTACATTAGTACCATTGACGATAATTCCACAAAAATGTCCAGACTCATCTTTACCTCTGAAATTGTTTATTAACTGTCATTTATAATTATTACTATTAAATGTTTGACATATATATTTAAATATACTTTACCTATGTGATATTATCACATCGTCACAATTTCCATTATCTATGGGAGAAATAAGGCGATTGGCGTTGATAATTTCACTAACTTTTCGGCCAAGTGTTTCTAGGTTATCATCATCGCTACAGTCCTTTAAACGTTCGTTTCCATTTGCGTGATTTTCATTTGAAGGTTCAGGGCTGGAACATGGACTAGATTGCATTCTATAATGAGCTTCGGACAAAATTGAGTTTCCATTTAAACACTCTGGTACTTGTTTACTTAATGACTGTTTATTAGTGCTATTTACAGAAAGCTTTTCTGTTGACGATACTGCTGTTGTATTTGTAATAGGACTGAAATCAGTTTCACTGATGTGCATTATATCTGTTTGGGTTTGACTGTCCACAAAACGTGCACATACTTCCGTACTCTGAAAAGTAAGAAATTATTTATTATGTATTAAGTAAAACTATATATATTTTTTTCATAGAAAATGCTTACTTTTCTTTCACGATGAGGACTTGATCTTGGGCTAGAACTCACACCACATCCAGATCCTACTCTACGATGTCTGTATTTGCGTTGTTTAAAACTATTACTAGGGGCTAAAACTGTCTCTGGCTGATTGGATTCGTTTAATTGTGTGTACATAGTTGCTTTTACTGGACTCTGTGGACAATCCGTTGGTGACGGTGGAGTTGTTGGTGTAGATGATGTTGAAAATTGTGTTGTAGGATTACGTCGACGATGAAGTCTTTCTTGAGCTTTTAAAAGTGGATGAACAAGCCGTTTCTTACACTGTTTATATCCATTTTGTTGTTCCCGTCTGAGAAATCAAAGATAATATAAATTTATTAACTATCCAATTTTTTAATTTATCTTACATGTCAATTTACTACTTACTTGATTACATCACGTTCACGTTGTTCCAGTTGTAATAAAACAGCACTTAACTCTAAGTACAAATTATTAGTACGCTCAAGTTTACGTTCATAGTGTTCTCGAATATCTTGAGCATGCCTCAGTTCATCCTCGCGTCGCCTGATCAGATCAGCTTCAAATCTTGGACTACTACAACTGTTTGTTTGCATTTGTTTCATGTGATCTCTGATTTCTTTTTTCCAAGATTGCTATAATAATCATAATTATTAAATGTTTGAATATTAAAGATACTATTATGTATCTTCAAAAGTCTTTTTATTGCTTTACCTGTGTCTTAAAATAATCATCAGGTTTTGTACATAGTACTTCAACTGCTGCAATGCCAAGGTGAATTTCAATGTGTTTAAAAGAAGGCCTGTTACGTGGTTTTGCAGCCCAACATTGTTTTACAAGCAACCTGTAACCTTCCGGACAACTTGCAGGAATTGGTAAATGAAGAGAGTTGTTACCCACACCCCAAATAATTGCAGACGAATCTACATCTTTGTAAGGTATTTCTCCACTTAATAATTCCCACAGAACAACACCATACGACCATATATCTACTTTTTCAGAACAGGGTTCATTTCTAATTATTTCTGGGGCCATCCACGCAACAGTTCCAGCAAAGCTCATTCTTGTACTAATTTCATTCCATTCTCTACTTGTTCCGAAATCACTAATTTTTACTACTTCTCCTTGTCCTATTAACACACTGAAAGTAAAGATATTATAAAAATAAAACATTTCTAACAATTATAATAATTGGGGTATATTACACTAAACATACTTTGGACTTTTAAGGTCTCTGTGTATAATTTTGTGTGCATGAAGATAGGCCATTCCAGCTGCAATTTGTTTCGACCATGATACCAATCTGGGGGGTGGAACTGGTTCTCCAGCCCTAAGAAGATCATACAATGGCCCATATGGACAAAATTCCATTACTATACAATAACATGGTGCTTGCGTACAGACTCCTCTGAAAATACATGGAGATGTTTCATACTATATTGTGATAATTATACCATGTTTTATATTTCCATAATATATCTGAAAACTTACTTAAATTGTACAATATTTGGATGATTAAGCTTTCGTAAATGCCGTATATCAGTCTCCCGTGGTTCACGTACTTTTTTTACCGCTACAACTTCTTTGTTTAATTTTCCACTAAATACTGCTCCTTGAGCTCCAGATCCAAGCCACTGAAGTTCACTAATTGATTCAAATGGTATTTCCCAATCATCCGCTAAAATAATCTCCTGTTAATCTTTTACTGTATTTAAACAAAGCGTATTAGATATGTAGGAAATAATGATTTACTTTGATGTCCTTTAATTTTTTCATTTACAGCTGCTTTTGAAAGCATACTCCAAACTGGACGCATACATCCTAATATACCCTCAACCCAACTTGTTCTTTGTGCATCTAGAGTCACAGAACCTGGAGTACATTTTGTTGGAGTTTCAGTGGAATTACTATTGCTTTCAGAATTTGTATGACTGTCATTGGGTAACTGAACATCACGTGAATCAGTGATGATAGGACCACCCGCAATACCACTCAACTGGCCCAATTCTTCTTGAATGCATAACATGCTACAACATATGATATAATATATTACATATCTTAACTCTCAAAATGTCTGTAGTAGACAGAAATATTTAAAAGAATGACGGTTTGTATTTAATTTTGTTAATATTATTGTCATACGAAACATAACATCTTTTTTACGTCATACAATTAGTAACATTTGTTTGTGCAACAGAGTTGCATTTTTATTTTTATTACGTTTAAAAACAAGTTAGTACATCATGTTTGTGAAATACAACAAATAAGTTGTGGATGAATAAATAAAATATATTTATTTTTTTTAATGCAATCGTATAAAGTAATTTAATTAAATATAATATTTTGACAAACATGGTAGTACTTAATTTTATTTATAAATTGAAATAATTTATATAAAATATGAAGGATGATTACTACTTTTGGTTTATTATTTCAGAATTATTAACATGACCTTGAGCGTAAATTTCAAGATCGCGTGTAAATTATGTTTGGGTCGAAGATGCAGGAAAACTGCGACATATTGGTGAAGTTTATCCTGTATGTGTGTTGATTTATTCAGTAAACCAGATATATACTTTTGCTCTATTGCATCTCACGATGCATCTTAATAGTCGATGCACAAATGCATTATATCGTTATTAAAAAAAAAATGCATAGCATAATAATGTTTACATGAATTTATTTGAACTTTAACAATAAGCGAGAAATTTAAAAAATTGTGTTTTAAAGAAATAATAATTAATATTAATTATAAGTTTTGTAAAATTCTACTTTTCGTAAAAGCGACTTGATGAAAATCAATGAACTGTGACTGCACTATTACGTCACGCACGAAACTATATATAGATATTTATTGATGTAAAAATAGTACAAAATTTATGTTTAAGACATAATCACATAATTATGTTTAGCAAGGTTTATATTTGAATTGATTATCAGTTATCATCCATGTTGCAACATAAGTGAATACTTTAAGGGCTTCATCCATTTAAAGCTGCACAACTACAATAGCGGAAATGCACATTAAAGAAATTCAAAAAATGCAAATTGTTATTATGAATTTCCATCTCAAGTATTATTTCATTTGTTCGAAACGCAGAACAGTTGTTATAGGAGACATTTTAGTTATATATATAAAATAAAATAAAATAAAATAATAATAAAAAAAAAAATCCTTCCAAGATTACGAAATTACAGAAAAAAAATTATTGTTCTAATTTGGAGTGTGGCTATGTCGTGGTGCAAACAGTCAGCTAATGATACAATCACGTTATTATATTCGCAGTCGAGAAACTTTCTTCCAGGGATCTGTGTTGTTCGAGAAACACAGTCTCAGTCCGACTTGTGATTTTTAAACACCATTATTGATTTCGTAATGAACGTAAAAATAATTTAATACAAAATTCAGCGTATTTAAATATTTATTACGCATCGTGCGTAAAAACGATTCACATTAGTATAATGTGCAATTGCGATATAATCACCGTATAAACTATATAAATCATAACATAACAAATAATTAAAAAGTTACTTTATTATCGAATTGGCGTAAATACATAAATCGTTTCTTTTTCATAAAATGTCGTGCTCTAAATAATTAAAATTAATAATAATAGGAAGATAAGGATCGCACTATACTCGTTTGAATGATTTTTGTTCGTGATTCGTACACCTGTCAAACGTACAACCGCGATCGTAATTCACGAACGCGAATCAAGTAACAGAGTGGTGGAAGTAAAACGATATCGCCAACGATATAGGTGGAAGCGTAGATATTGCAACAAGTGTCCTCTACTTTCAAGTATATTATGCATCCTATGCTATATAATTATACGAGAATGTTATGCGTTTGTTAATGATGTCGAAATCACGTGCCAAAGTTACATATTTCTTATACTCGAAAAGGACCGAAAGACGCAAGTGAACAGATCGTGCAAACGTGAAACCGCGTCATAAATATCTGACGAATTCCAAAAAAAAAAAATCGCGAATACAAGTTTTATGTGCGGATGTATTGGTACGAGGACAAGATCGAAGCCGTCAACGATGGTGCCGTTATCGGAAGCGCATTCCGACGATTTGGCCTTCGAGCTCACCTCCTCGTACCGACGTTGTTTGGAGCGGCCGCATCGTCGTTCCGCGTCTTTCTGAGGAAAAACCGTGTAAAGACCATCGTACAACCCGTCGCATATGGATATAGCACTCTCGTTACATGCACTGACAAAAAGTGTTACAAAATCATGCCACCGATCGATAGTTCGCTAGACGAGCAAAAAATAAGTACGAGAAAACTACACACGATATAACCGAGCACGAGACATATCGTAAACTGACAAGTTTGCCTGTAGAGGGCCGCGTTTACCGTTTGCTTCTTCAATATGACATACAGTAAGTCACAGAAGTATTCCTCTTCTCTAAACTGCTCATTATTTGAGATGGTCAGAGCCGTTCTTTGGCCTTTATCGCATTAATTAATTTTACCAATCACAAAAGTATTCATACTTCTGCAATGGAACAACTTGATATATTACAAACCAACTGCTCAATATATTGTATACTTTCTTAGTACCAAACTTTCCATCAGCTCTTACTTGAAAACTTCTTGGCTACTAATTTCTGTAGGCATGATCGAAATTCTAATTAACAGTGTACATGTCAAGCGTTTGAAGTTTGCAGAAAATGCAGTATGAATACTTTTGCAACTCACTGTACGTGTGATGATCAAGTGTAATGTATTGTCTCTAACTGACAATGAATGTAACCACCTCGATATTGTTAAAAACCATCTTATTTGAGAATCCTACTCAGTTTCATCTTATTTCGAGTGCGAACGTGTACGAGCAAATGTTTGTTGGAATTGTTGTTACAAATCAGGGTGGTTTTCAATCTTTTTTAGTGCTTCAGTTTAAAACAGTACTTCACGGTACGCATGCGACAGGCGATTAAATATACGCATGCGCAACCGTAACGCGCGTAAATCCACCTGAAAAGGCGCATTATTTCAAACGTGCAAATTAGATAACTTCGTTATGAAAGATACGTAAGTCTATGTTTCAAATAAATAGACACCGACTCTCTTACATAAACCTTGGATGATTAGGGGAACTTGTGCTTAAAATTACTCTTTCATAGATAATATCTATACTACTTATCGGCGATCACACAAAACATGCAACTAGCCAATTAGCGCTTATCAAACTAAAACCTTTCATATCTGAAAAGAAAGGTAAATTGACTTTACATTACTTTCATAATGAACGAATCACATAAAAATGAAAGCGTGTAGGGAAATATCGAATTTTACGAAACAAATATTCAGTATTGTTCGATACCTTGTTATTTGTTTACTCTTACCTATTAGTAAATATATGCGTTTCCGGGTGTGAAGGTGATAAGACTACTTGATTAACACCCGACGACGCTTCCGTTTCCTGAAATTCGAGTTTATACATCTCAGGTTGAGGTAGTGTCTCGGTCTCAGCAGGGGTGCGCATTCTCGTTTACCTTTCCGTATTCAATGTCTAAAAGAAAGAGTTGCACGCTCGTTACACAGAAATATTTTAATTTAAATCCGAGATGGTCGAAAGTCTAGGTAAAAATTCGAACTCGAATTGCAGAATAAGATTGTTGAATATAAAGTAGTTTATCGCACAACTTGTTTATATTGTCGCGGACACATGCTAAATATGTTATTTGTTGCCACGTTACCAAGTACGGAGCCACTGACGAAAAGGAGAAGAGACGAATAAGAAATCACTTTTAGCATAACATGGGGAGGTTGAGTTCAATGGAATGCTGATCTAGTAAGAGGCGTGGTATGTGGCCGTCACATACCAAACTTAACCGTGGTTTTATTTTTCCTGCAGATTCCTCGGATCTGGATGGACCGTATCATTAGCATTTTTTAGTTAACGATAGAGAGGGCTATCATTCGAAAAAAACGAACAAATATACGGACTAAAGGTAATACACACATTAAAATCTATAAGATAACTGAAAGTTTTTGTTTTTCATCAGGATTTTTTCGTTTGACCAATATAATTAAACCTTAAATTTATAGTAAACCCTGTTCAGTCCAAGAGTAGAACGAACAAGGTAATTACGCATTTGACTAGATCTACATATAATAACTACCTTATACTGGTTTAAACGCGGCACCCTTTCGCGCCACGAAAAAAAAGAATACGGAGTTTTGTACAGTGAGTCACTCGTAGGCGTGTCTTGGATTAATCCTAAGCACCTGTGCTGAGGCTAGGTAAGCTCTAACACACTTCTAGCGACCCCCGAAACCTTCTAAATCTCGTGCCTGACAGTTTACTTCCGATTACAAAACAACGTGCATAACAAAGACACCGATAACTACATCGTTTCAATGAAATATGTTTTGCATTCATTCAAGCGATTACATACTACTGTACAACAAAGGGCCTAGCCGATTAAGATGGTCAAAACTGCCCTTAGATCTTTTTCAATATCTCTTGAATCATTCGAAAGCTGACCAAGAAAAACCCTTCTGAGTAAAATTTTAATCCTCTAGCTTACCCGTGAGGGTAGTTACAGGGTAAAATAGATTTTACGCTTTCCGGCGCATTTTCCGATCTCAAATACGTTCTAAAATTCTGAAAAAAATCTGACACATTCCGGATCCTAAGACGCATTTTTGAGAATTTTCTCAGATTTTTTTGATGCCAACTGTGTTCGTAAGAAATAAAAAACCTCAAAAAAATCGGAAGTTCGGCTCCTTCATTGTCAAAAACAATACAAACTGAATTTTTTCGACGTTTTTGCTGCGAGTTTGTATTGTTTTTGACAATGAAGGAGCCGAACTTCCGATTTTTT